ATGATGATAGTAATGATGATGGTGATGATGATGATGGTGATGATGATGATAGTAATGATGATGATGATGATAATAGAACAGCAGGAACCTTAACCAAGCATTCAACTACTTGTTAATCCAGTGTCCAATAATTAAACTTAGACATGTAATCTTCTTAACTTAGTGGAACGACTCACTACTGACTGACTCATAGAATATAGGTCAAAATCAGCCCCGATTATGTTGTTTATTTTTCAACCATTCAATAATTCATATGGCTCGCAGCTAGTACGCACGCGTGCTACAAATTACTATCGAGTATTCTAGCTAGTTAGAAATGTGATATCCATTGCAGTCGCTGATAAAAGTCACGGTATATGACAGTTTGGTACTCGAGTACTGTTAAGCTACGGACAACATAGCGCGCAGTGTTGCATTCAATATATTGATCATATTGCGAGCCATGACACACGATGTATTTTGTTGCACGCAACGTTGCTGAAGTAGAATACTCTCCTACTTCAGCAACATTGCCTTCAATGTTGCCTTCAATGTTGCATCGTGTGTCCATGCCTTTAGAGCCGTACCGYATCTTACCATGAAGTTAGGCGATTTGCATGCACAAAATGGGAACTAAGCCATTTGAGTGTTTAGGCATGTCATACCTTTTAAAAGTTGCGGTAAGACAGTACCATGAGTTTCCTCAATTATATATGTAACACACAAATTTGTTGTTACAGGAAGGCTTCAGTGTTTAGGTATATGTCGTACCGTTTTCGTCTCGCAAGTCAGTAACGTAATGCAATTAAAATCATATTTTTTTACTGCAAAATAACAATATCTTTACTGAGTCCTACTGCTATTTTTGTTGGCCTTTGTCAAAAGAAAAACCCGAAAAACAGATTAGTTTGAGGACCCCTGCATTGGGTACGTACTGATCAGAACAGCAGTTTTCCGATAATCACTTAAAGGGATTGAATGACGACCATATCACATCCAACATAGACAGCTAATCATGCCTAGATGCATGGCTTAATCCGTACTATTTATAGGTAACTAGATGTTGATATAATAACAATGAAGAATCGAGAACATATTGATGCAATATGAGTCGAAAAGGTCAACAAACACCTTCATTCAGATAAAAACAAAAGGAAAATGAAAAGGAAACATAAAACGGTCAAGAAAAAAACCCTGGTTATTGGCTCTTGTTTTTCTTCCTTTCTTCCTTCCTTTCTCACCTCTCTCTCTCTTTTCTTCCATCCTTCCTTCCTTCCATTGTTCTTTTTTTCCTCCCTATTTGCTCGTCCTTCCTCCGCGTCCCCTGGATCAAGGGCCTGTCATGATTTACGAAAATTTAACCAAAATTACGTTATCTCTCGAAAACAAGTCATTAACGTCATTCAGAAGAGCTGTGTTATCAAACAGCAAGGAGTGAGTCTAAAGGTATCCAAGCATTGATTACTATATATGCTTGACTGACCTACAGCAATGTAGTTTACTTTACCTCTGACGATAACCTAATATAACAAATAGAAATTGAAGGATAGCAAAGTGCCAGATAAGAAAATTATCTATTATTCTCCTAACTCAATGTTCTTACAACAAGATGTTTCCTCAGGAAGTGCTTTCTTTCTCGAGGTAAAACCGACGTCGCTCAAATATATGCAAAGAAATCAGTGAATTTCGTCAAGAGGTTTCTCTTGATAGAAGTTATTTTCTTGTGTTTCTCGTTACTTAGCGATCAATAAAGCTAAATGATAAATATATTACTTAAAGTTATAAACATTATTTTTGTGGTATATTCTTTGAAAATTTGTTTTTTGGGATCGAAAAAAACATTTTTTTTGTAGCCGAGTGTTTCGAATCAAAAACATTTCGTTTTTCCCGAAATTCTTGAAAGGTTTGTTTTTAGTGATACGTGAATAAAGAATATATTCTAAAGTGATCAAAGTCAGCAAGAATTTGCATTCCAKGCCTTACTCAATGGGCGAAACGCCACGAACTAATCTAATACTGATGCGCAACTGGGTGCTCCACGATCGATTTTCTTTGTTTAAGGTGACGAACTCAGAAACTATGGTCAAAAAGTAAAACACAACACAAACACAACTTAAAAAGACCGAGAATATAGAGTGATTTTCATATGATCGTGAAAGAATAGGCAAACTAATAGTTAGTAGTAGACTCTAAACCAATGATTTTCTTTTGTTCTTTATCAACTATTACAAACTAAATGGTCTATTTTCTTTCACGGTCATATGAAAATCACTCTAAACAGGATAAAGGCTATTAAGTTTACCACAATGTTTATTAATTGTAAGCCATCCTTTGGCGCAACCACTAAACAGCATGTCAGTCAACTAAAGGAATTTAATATTACAAATTATATATATATTTAAAAAAAACAAAAAAACAAAACAAAAACAAAAACAAAAACAAAAAAGAAAAAGGATAAGAAAAGGACTTCGTGAACGCCCCTTTGGAAGAAAAGGAGACTCTGAGATGTTGTACTTCTTCTTGACATTACTTGTCAAAACTGCAAAAAATCTAAACTCAGACTCTATTTTTAGGAACTTAGAAATGCAACTCCAATCCCTCTTGAAATACTTGTGCAGTTTTCCGTAAGCCTCTCAAACAGTTTTTAAAGCTATTTGTTTTTTCAAGAGAAGTCTTAGTATTTTAGCTAGTCTCTTCTAGTAAAAAGGTTGAGACCATCATTATTTAGTTAGGAGCTTAAAAAAAAGTTCGTGTGAAATATTTTCAAAGACTTACCATTTATTCCAAATGTTCCTGCCAGAGGATCGACTTTTCCTCCATTACCAGATGGAGCAGCAAACACTACCTCAAAGAGACAGAGAACCAAGAAACCAAGGACTACACAACTGAGCTGCATTGTCAACGCGAGGAGGGCCAGAAAACTGCGAAACCTCTACGTCGTCTGGTTTACGATTGAACTCAATGTCGTGTGCTCGACCTAACGGCTCTTATGAAATGCCCTCAAGCTGAAAAACTGACTTTTTAAGTTGTCGAAAAAAATTTAAATCATGCAATATCCTGCTGAAGACGTGTTTTCCCAGCGGTATGTCATTAGCGGAAAGCAATGTTAAAAGCACATCAAATATTTGGACAATCGCTGCACACTGAGAATTCCTAAGACAGCCAGCTCATTTTTCTGTGGCATGTGGCGATTGTGGCCTCTCGAAGGTTCATGGCTACATTTCATCTGAAACTAAATAGTTCGACTCCGAAATGAAGATTTTTCCGGCCATAAGGTATCAATACGTCAGTACTTCTTTAAAGAGGGCACATGTACATCCAATGTCTATAATTATAAAAAAGGAGACTCCTAAAAAACGATTGTCGATCAACAGGAATTGTAGAGACTCCCCAAAAAGCGCGCGTAAAATTTAAGGTCCCATATAAATCAGCTGAATAAAATTGTGGCAAATTCTAAAGCAGCAGCTGCTGGTTTTTTTTTTTACTTTATTTTGTAATGGCGTTTTTGTTATTTAGGGATTGAAAGATGTCGAATTCCTTTTTTGGCATAAGGTCAAGAAGACTGAGGTGTTCTTCGCACTCGTGGAAAATCGATAGCCACAAATTTGAAACCATTTTGCAATAAATACCCTTTGTTAATGGGTGGTGTTCACCGACGAAAATTCTTTTGCCAAGTGATAATTTAATCTGTTATATAAACATAACTTACTATTTTTTAACCAAAACATTTATCGGTTTATTGAGAATTATCAATGTATGGTACAATATATAGAATGATACTTTAAAAAGTAGAAAAACTGGTTTGCTTCTTGTTAGAGGAAAATAAAGAGAAACAGTTTTGACAGAAAAAACACAGAACACCTCCTAAACTTACGCACTTTAAAAGGCATCCAAATGTTTATTTTTAATCCTAAGTTTTGACCAACTAGCCTTAAGTTTAATATTTTAGACCGTTTTAAAGATGTGGAGTTTCTGAATTTATTTAATGTTTACTGTAGGCGACTGAAATCATTTCTTCACAAAATGTGCGTTTCGTAGTAAGTTTGTGCAATTATTAGAAAAATAGTACAGCTCCAATAGCAATGCAAATTAACTTTGTTGTTATCATTCAATGCACGTTAGTAGAAAAAGGATTTGCTGAAGTTACGGGTATTTTTAAGATTTTCACTTAATTGCAAAGAACGTTCGAGAACCCAAGCGAGCATAAAAGGTGTCCGAGTGCTCAGTCGGGAATGGCGTGATTGCCGCCGAGAAATCGTGAGTAGAAATTTGCTGTAGTATTTCTCCGAGTTGATACTTTGCGTGAAGAAAGCCTTTCAAGAAGAAAAACAACTTTCAGGTCTTTTAAAGGCGTCAGAAGTTCTTTTTCATGTTCGAAAACAAATCGAGGTTTGTGAGTTTTTAAAAATGTGCGTGTTCTTGCTCAGCGCACTGAAAAATTTATGGACGAATTAAAAATCTTTCTACATAAAATGAGTGCTTCCTGATACTAAGTAGCTTCAGCGTTGATGTAGTAACATCATGGAGTGATTTTTCTGAAGTGCGGAAATGCACACGAATACCATTCTTCAGTGCACCGAAAAAAAAAAGAGATCAAAACTACGTTATCAAAAATCTCTCAACAACTAAGCTCATTTATCTAATCAATTAAGTTGTATTGCATATACATCTCTTCAAGATCGACAATAATTCAACTCGTTGCAAATTGTTTACTTATTTATTAAGGAATAATTTTCAGATCAGATATGCTCCCGATAACCTGAGATTCATACTGAGAAACGACAACTTAAGGTTAAGATATACATCGTACTGTTGCTGACAACTTCTAGTGTAGATATACGAGGTGATCCCACAGGCATAGTGCTATGCGTGATCGCTGAGTTAATTAAAGTATAGACTCTATCTAGCTCCTATAGTCTGTCTTAGTCATGCTAACCTAGCTGGCCGGATCACGATAACGCTTCAATCGATCGATTGACTTTTCGTGGCATGTTGGATTATTGTTTTGTAATCAGTTCAGTTTAGATTACAGATGGTGTGGCTGAGAATGGCCTAACTTGATTATTCGTGGCTAGTGAAATGCCTATCAATGGAGAATAGGATTAGATTTGAAGAAATGTCTTCTCTTTCTTGAGAAAAGGCTCCTTTTTAAGACGTATTTTTATTCAATTTATCTATTCATCCGTTCATCCATTAACACATTCATCCATCCATTTCATATATGCATCCACTCACCAATCCATTCATCTACCCTTCCATTTACCCATCCATCTACCCATCCATCTACCCATCCATCTACCCTTCCATCTACCCTTCCATCTACCCATCCATCTACCCTTCCATCTACCCTTCCATCTACTCATCTACTCATCCATCTACCCTTCCATCTACCCTTCCATCTACCATTCCATCTACCCTTCCATCTACCCATCCATCTACCCATCCATCTACCCTTCCATCTACTCATCCATCTACCCTTCCATCTACCCTTCCATCTACCCTTCCATTAACCCATCCATCTACCCATCCATCTACCCATCCATCTAC